CACAGGAGCGAGGGGGTGGCTCAGGTTTTTGTCACGTAGTCGATTTTAGTGAGAGAAATCTCGTATTTTTTCGACCTATATTCGAATATAGCGCGCAGTGTTTAGCGCTTTGTAAACTCACAGTTGGTGGCGCTAAGTAAAGACGAGGATGAACCAATTTTTTTTTTTTTCAATTTTTGCCTGTGAAATGATTAAAAATCATAATTATGAATTACTACGTGAAAACTAAAGGGGGGAGGGGGGGTCTTGGCATATACTACGAGTGATCACCGAGGGGAGGGAGAGGTCGAAAAAATAAAAAAAATAGGTCACGTAGTATGGGTACGTTCCCTAACGTAAATGCTAATTCGATTATTTTCATCCCATTAAATATTTATTGCATGACCGTCACATCTTCGGTATAAGGTTGAACACGATCCTACTTAAAGAGCCACTTACGATCATTAACCGCTCGATATAAACTTTAGTTACGGACGTTGGATTCATTGAAAAAATAAATAAGAAAAAATATAATCTAAAGATGTGAATGTCAGAAATTCGAAACGCTTCTTTATAATATTTCCATTGCAAAGCATTTAAATATAATTGTCAAATAGAAGTCGGGCAGTAATTAAAAAGTATAATTGATGTATTCTTTTGATATAATAGTATAGGTATTTAAAAACGTAAAACTAATTGTCGTTGATGTGTATATTTTTATGTTTTTCTTAGACATCCGTCTAAAGAGTTCCACGACCTTTCTGGTAGTGTTAATTGGTTATCGGAGCCCATTGACATCACCAATGTAAATGCCGCCAGCCACCTGAACTCTTAAGTCTCAATTCTAAAGCATAATGGCTGTTCAACCTCAAACCGAGAACGTATTATTGCTTCGCCGCAGAAATTGGCAAACTGTGGAAAATACCCGTGCGGCTTCAAAAACGCCCACCGGTAAAACCGATTGTTACGTGGTGTTTAATTAACAAAATTGCAAGACCGTCCCTTCCTAGGCTCGTATGTTTTTTTTATTTTTTTTATTGCCTAAATGGGTGTACGAGCTCACAGCCCACCTGATGTTAAGTGGTTACTGGAGCCCATAGACATTACAGCGTTAATGCGCCACCCACCTTGAGATATAAGGTACCAAGTATAGTTATAACGGCTGCCCCACCCTTCTAACCGAAACGCATTACTGCTTTACGGCAGAAATAGGCAGGGCGGTGGTACCTACCCGCGAGGATCACAAGAGGTCCTACCACCAGTAATACCAGTATGCCAAAACCAGTATGTGTTATCTGTATCCAATTACACACCCGAAAATTTTGATTGAATGTTAGAAATTTGGTTATCTAATAATGATTGTCGAACATAAAACAAAATCTAATCTATCACTTCAATGTATCTTTTAATCTGTTCTAAAAACATGAATCACAGCGAATGATGTCATTTCAACTCTTGGCCTGTCCTGTCGATTATACATTCACGTATGACGTCACGCGTTCGTTTACGTAATAAAATAAAAACGAATAATAAATGTTTTAGGCATTTACCCAAAAATCGTGTATATAATAAATAAAAATTTCATTAAAACATTTTTATTAAAGCACATGTTAATTTTAGTCACTTTCTGTTGAGAAAGTTATCCCATTAAGATATAGAGATTAGAGTGTTTAAAAAATTAAAATGCTCTTCAATTATGAACTGCTTACAAGTACATACAATGATAATGACAGTCAGCTGTCATATAACCAACTTCAACTAAAAGTGACCTTTGGTCAATGTCGATCAAATGTAAAAGCTATTTCGATTTCCTTCATTAGAAAACTATATAACCAAATCACTGCCTATAAATAAAGCATTTTCCTTGAACCTCGTTTGAAGAATGATATGCCGTAGTGCTGAGAATAGTCAATGAAGGACTTTTAGTATTAACAAACTTTTTTTTTATTGCTTAGATGGGTTGACAAGCTCACAGCCCACCTGGTGTTAAGTGGTTACTGGAGCCCATAGACATCTACAACGTAAATGCGCCACCCACCCTGAGAAAGTTCTAAGGTCTCAGTATAGTTACAACGGCTGCCCCACCCTTCAAACCGAAACGCATTACTGCTTCACGACAGAAACAGGCGGGGTGGTGGTACCTACCCGCGCGGACTCACAAGAGGACCTACCACGAGTAAACAACTCACAAGAGTCCTCCCTGTATTCAAGATAAAGACAGTTAAAGTTTTCCACAAAACGTCACGATAAAGGCATCCATTATTACGCTATACTGAACTGAAAGTTTGCTCATTCCCGATCCTGCGGACAGAATGGAAAGCAGTCGACGTCGCCCAAAACACGTCATCTCGGATCCTCCCGATCCACTAACGGTGCTTTTAGGTACTTCAAGCACCGGTCACCGTTCTCGTCGAACCCGTCGCTTGCGACGAAGGGCTCGACGAGTAAATTAACTCTCAGACACAGCCCACTGAGTTTCTCGCCGGATCTTCTCAGTGGGTCGCGTTTCCGATCCGGTGGTAGATTCTGCGAAGCACGGCTCTTGCTAGGGTTCGTGTTAGCATCGTCGTCAGGTTTGAGCCCCGTGAGCTCACCTACTAGCCAAGGTTACGCTGAAATAGCCTCTCAAGGCTATCAGCTTAACTGGAAAAAAAAAAAAAAAAATTAAAGTTCATATTTTTACATATCTCATATCTCTTCTAGCTCTGGCAGTAAATCCTTATGGCACCAATTGAATAAATAATATTAGAAACGTAATTAATAATAATAAAATAATGTTTTACTCGATGACTAATTAATTAATTACGTTCGTACTTTTAATTCGTTTTCGGTATCTAATATAATTAAAAAGTACCTACATATCCATTTCAGTAACCTTTCAGTACAAGTCTATGAAAATGTTCTTGATAGTTGTTAATAACACATATGAGCGCAACAAACAAACACATCCATTCTCGCATTTACAAATATTAGAATGGATAGCCAATGCCTAATAAAAATTTGAATTTAATCCTTACGTTGGTGATTTTAATTCATTTTTATTCATGTTTTTGGATTCCAGAAACAATTAATAGAAAATGAGGTAAAATGATACCAAAATAACCAAAATAAGATAATTATTTGCTGTGGAGTGCTCTGAGGAATTATTCGAGATGATACCGGCATCTCGTTTTTACCACCGCCCGCCACCGGAGTAGAGTTCATCCATACTACCTGGAGCCACTGCGGTCATCCACAGTGCGCTTCCACAGATCTTTTTTGCCACGCACCATCCGGCTATGGAATGAGCTCCCCTCCACGGTGTTTCCCGAGCGCTATGACACGTCCTTCTTCAAACGAGGCTTATGGAGAGTATTAAGCGGTAGGCAGCGGCTTGGCTCTGCCCCTGGCATTGCTGAAGTTCATGGGCGACGGTAACCACTCACCATCAGGTGGGCCGTATGCTCGTCTGCCTACAAGGGCAATAAAAAAAAATGAAACACGCAACTATCGAATTAAAATAATTCATAACCGCTGGTACTCGTATACTTGTGAGTGTAATGAAAACGATATGTCTTCTTATTACAGTTTCATCGAGCAAGATAAAGTTTCCGGTTTCTGGACATGGATGTTCGTGCTATCGAAGCTTCCAGAACTCGGCGATACGGTTTTCATCGTCCTACGCAAGAAGCCGCTGATCTTCCTCCACTGGTATCACCACATCACGGTCCTGCTGTACACTTGGTATTCGTTCACTGAATACACATCGTCGGCGCGCTGGTTCGTCGTCATGAACTATTGTGTGCACAGGTGTGTGTTATATCAACTATATTTCTGATTTAATTACGTGATTTAGTTAAATTTATTTAATTGTCAATGTTTGTAGAGCTAATTGCGTTCGTAGCTCAACATAGCGTCTCGTGCTTGCTTGAAGGTTGTTTTCGTAATTAATTTGTATATTTCATAAAGTATTATCATGATTAAACACTGAGTTTCAATGTATTTTGAAAATTAAAGGCGATTGACACAATAAACAAAAAAAAAATTAATCAATAAATGATTCGTACAATTTTATACATAACAATGAAACACATAATATACGCGTGTTATGTACAATATTTTGATGTCTCGAATTATTACACTAGTGCAAGTTTTAGCAGTTTCGCACGTGTATATATTAACGGGGATTATGTCATTCTCTTCAATTGGATTAAATGCGTTTTGCAATCATCACGCGAATGTCGTCTTATACTATGATATATTGGGTCGAAATCTCCAGTCGACAAAAACAAAAACAATTAAACAACAAATCAACAAAAAATATATCAGATATATATGTATTTTAAATGTAATTTAGCTTGAACGTGTCATACGCGTTTAAATTGATTAATTAAAATATTTGATTGTATCATTAAAAAAAAATCATAAAATACAGGTTTAAAAAAAATATAAGAAAACGTTTCCTACTCTTCTTTTATGCGTATTAACAAAATTGCTTATTTGCATTAATAAATTATGTACAATAATAAATTACATTAAAATGCGGTAATAATACGGTTTTAGGGTTCTGAGCCTCAAAATGAAATAAAAAAAATTATTGTTGTAGAATCACTTTGTCAATACGTCAAATTGAGTCAAATAAACTTACTATATATCACCTCGTTACCGCTACGGTTTCCTCCCATGGGGGGAGGGGTGAAATCGACTGGGAACTTCTTGGAAAGCTATGACACTTATGCGTTGTTGCTTACTTGACTCTGAGACGCACTAGGATGCGCCATCGGAGGGGCTCCTATGTAATATATACATACTATACTATATGACCAGCTAGCTATATTTTGTTACTCGTGAAATTTGATAAGAGGCAAGGCTTGAAAAAATAAGTAAGGGGAAAAATTAATATTGTTACATTATATTATATATAGGTAGTATTAGGTAACTTGCAGCCAGAACTCTCAGGACGATGGGCGTATTTACCCTATAGTCAAAAGGCAATGACGGCGCATGCTCCACCTCATAGCGCTCAGTTTTGTTTTGACTTTATGAGCATGAAGTTGAAATAAAAAAAAAACTACCTAATTTACAAAACTCGTTTTGTCGTAAGATTGATTTAATATTTTAATATATTCAATCATTACCATTATTTCCATAACAGAACACTGCCGTATATTATTTTGCAATTGAATCGTTTTTTCTCCATTAAATCTTATAGGCCTAGTGCGCTAAATCTTAAAATACACTACTGCTTAGAACGCGCGTCTTACTTGCATTTGTATCCGGTTTATTTTTCTTATTCCATGACGCTATTTCTAATACTCTTAATTGATTTATAACGTACATATTTGATTTAAAATGGACTATCATTTTAATCGAAATGTTTGCTTTTGTGATCGCTCCTAGTCTTTATGTAAAGTTTTTTAAATGCGTAAAAGAAAGTTTTCTATTTCGATAATTCAACGGTATAATGGTCTGAAATTGGAATGAATTAAAAACCCTTTTCATTGTAAAACATTGAACCAGCTACCTCTACAAACTTTGCAGATTAACATATTTATATATACGTTAATTAACATTTAACACTTTTCGTTTATTTTGGTAACAAACAAGTTTATTTATTATCCACGTATATTAAAGATTCCAATACAGACACGTGCTCACTTAGCAAATTAAGTAACTTAACCTAACCTGCCTATTTCTGCCGTGAAGCAGTAATGCGTTTCTATATTTGAGACCCTTAGAACTTATATCTCAAGGTGGGTGGCGCATTTGTGTTGTAGATGTATATGGGCTCCAGTAACCACTTAACACCAGGTGGGCTGTGAGCTCGTCCACCCATCTATGCAATAAACAAAAAATAAATAAATTATTATGTGTTTGCAGCGTGATGTACTCGTACTACGCGCTCGTCAGTATGGGTAGGTACCCGCCGAAAGCCCTCGCCATGACCATCACCGTCCTCCAACTGACCCAGATGATCGTCGGCTGCGCGATCAACATCTGGGCGCACAACTACATGACGACCACTCCCTCGCACACGTGCCACATCAGCCAGATAAACATTAAGCTGTCGATGGCGATGTACTTCTCGTATTTCGTGCTGTTCGCTCAGTTCTTCTACAAAGCGTATCTGTCGCCGAAGAAAGGTAAGAAGGCCAAGGTGGAGCCCCCGAGTCCGACAAAGCACGAGCCAATCAAGAATTACAACGGCTACCCGAGACAGAGGAACGGACTCGTGTCCACCCACTAGTCGCCTATAGTTGTGATTGCTAGTTTATTGTACAGGTTATGGCTGTTGTTAAGGTATTTGGCTTCGATTGGGGTCGGGATAAACCGATAAAAGTACCAAAAACATTGAAAACGAACAATTTAATGTAAGATAAAGTTTGAAGCGTCATTTTGAATAACAGAAATNAACGGCTACCCGAGACAGAGGAACGGACTCGTGTCCACCCACTAGTCGCCTATAGTTGTGATTGCTAGTTTATTGTACAGGTTATGGCTGTTGTTAAGGTATTTGGCTTCGATTGGGGTCGGGATAAACCGATAAAAGTACCAAAAACATTGAAAACGAACAATTTAATGTAAGATAAAGTTTGAAGCGTCATTTTGAATAACAGAAATACATCGTAACGTCGCTGTCAAACCAAAATCTGCTATGTGCAAAAAACTTTTGAATTAACGAGTAAAAACATTTTCGTATAAAATTTTATATGAAGGTGAATTTTTAAGAACTATATCAAATGAAAGCTATAGATAAATATTAAGGTTATAGACACAACAGTTTCTTTATACGGTAGATAGGGCTGTGAACTATACGAAAAGGTCAAAAAGTGCACATAGCAGATTTTGGTTTGACAACTAAGATAAAGTTAAGTACAAGTAAATGGCTTCGATGAAGGCATTTAATAAGTCAGGTGAATAAATCGACCTCAGTCAAGTCAAGGCTCCTGGGGGCGCCGTCTGCAAGATACATTCCATGCTGCTACGTTCAGTTCGGCGGATCCGCAGCTTGTCGCTTTGAGCTGTAGCCCTCGGGCCACAAGCTTTTATATGGTCTCTGTGCCAACCACGATAGCATGTGTGTCACGAATTAATGAATTTACGGCGAACGTGTTAGTTTAAGTGTCGGTTTTGGACAACCCTACATTTCGCCAATCGTAGGGTATTCGTTCGTAATTTTTGATATTGCTTTCCGAATTAATAAGATTTTGAGCGGAACTGACAATTTTTTGTTTATCCATTATACTTTACGAATTCACAATTCATTTAAAAAAATATTTTAGATTTGTTTTGGCAATTAACAGTAATATAGTCACACACAACAAACTCAATGCCGGAAGAATGAACCTGTATAATATAATCTACCGATTACTTTGTTGTTATTGTATTTGCTACTTAACCGTAGTAAAAAAAATAGTGTTTTTTTTTTAAATAATTTATTTGTAAAGTTTAATTTTAAACAGCGCTGTTTAAACTTATTCATTACGTTTTATCGAACCGAAGTGCAATTTGAACCGTTTTGATAGTTTACAATTAATTACTTAAACAAAAATCAAAAAAGTACAATTAATTGTAATTAAGTTTATGGATTAGTATTTTGATTGGAAGAAAATCTTGACTTCACTGTGGATCGATTAAAAAAATTTAGTTGTAGTCTCTCAAATTATTGTAATCCGTTTATTTTGTACTTCTGTTTGTAATTAATGAATAGGCGTTGTTATTGCTTGTCAAACAAGCGCATATAGTATGTTCGTAGTTGAATAAGCGATCGAATGAAATTGCAGTTTTATTTTTGAATCCTTTAAGCGCAAATTCGAAGAGCTCTCGCATTTACTACAGAACGTGTGCTTAGGACATTTTCATGTACAGAAACATAAGAGTATACATATAGTAAATAAGTGCGAAGGTGTTTGAAACCAGACTATATCAGGGTTGTAACGAAACTTTGCCGTTTACAAACAAACAAACAAAAAAGCTTTTCAATTTATTTATTTTTCGATAAACAGAACTTAGCGAATTGAAATTATTTAATAGGTACATCGGGCTTAGTGTGTCAGTCAACGTTGGCGCTAATGTGGCTCGTTCATTGTTAGGGTAGTGAGCGAAACGAACATTAGCAATTAAAAAGAGGAAAGTTCAAAGTAGACTACGTTGTTGTACAGGCTAGTTGACTGGTGTTTTGTGTTTAGTGGTCTTACTTCGGTTTTCACGAGTCCGTAGTCTATGTAACGAAAACTAGTTTAATGAGACTCATCGGCCACGAATTATTCGAAACATCGGAATCGATATCATTGTCGACGGGTGAAAGGCTAGAGGTACAGATGGCTCTCGGCAGTCAGTCAGCTGTGTGCTTAGTGTGAATTTTTTAACATTCTCGATAGCGTCAAAGTTAACTCAAATTTATATAGAGTAGGAACAGCTTCCTTTCGTTTGCCGCTAAGGACGTTGTCCCAACTCCATACAAATTTGAGTTAACTTTTACGAAGTGAGATGTAATTAAATAATGTCCCAATAAAAAATGGTGGGAATTTATTAAGACTGCTCGGGGGGGATTAGGAATAACCCTAGAAGTGAGTTGCAGCGACTTGTTTAATTTCCTCACACTTGTACACTTTCATAGATGCTATCTGACTTAAAACATAAACCTACAAGTTTTGTATTGCTGCATCATTCTTATATTTGTTGACTACGTATTCGTGAGACAATAAAAAATCAGTCAACTTGCCTATTGTCATAAAATATTAGAATTAAGAGGAATTTATCATAGAGATATTCCTTATTAGAAATAACTTAATACTATGAACGAATAGAATATAAAACTCGATAAAGTTTAAATGATCGTATCGATTTACACGCCTTTACATTACCTCACGTCTCAGATTTAATATAAAATGTACAGTTATTCAAAATGCTTTGAATTAAAGAGTAATAATTTAAGACGTCTACTTTATAAAATTAATATTTCGGGGTGCGAAATGAAAAGTAAGTACAGTGTGCTCTAGAATAGTGATGTAGGACGAATAAAATTAAATCATGTAGCTTCCAACGAAACGCTTCGGAACATCGCCGCTAAGACATGCTAGGGCCGTCTGTGATTATAAGGCGGTTAATACATTGAGTATAGATCCTAATAAATTAAAGATCATCGCCAATAATCCACTTAGCTCGGAGCCAAATTTGAAAAAAAAATCAGGAAAGCCCCTGTTAAAAACCTGTTATAATAAATATGTTGAACAATTGTTACTAAAAACGTTTCAATCGATTTTAAATCGAATACTAGATGATATTCGATTGTCAATACAAATTTCAGATTTCATATTAAAATCGCGTCTTTTCATCGAGTCAATCAACAAAATCGTTAATTGAAAAATATCGATTATGTTATTCGAATTTGTATCTAACCGAATACGCGATAGCACTATAATCGATTTATTTAATAGTTTTAGCAACTAACGAAAGCCCGAGTCGTAAATCAAGAAATGCAGGTACATGTAGTGAAAATAAGCTGATGTTGATTTTAGGATCAGTGTGCTCAGTGCGAGTTTTTTAACGTTCTCGATAGCGTAAAAGTTAGCTCGTATTCCTATGGGATGGGATCGTTTGCCTACGTTTGCCGCTTGGGGCTCTGTTCTAACTGCATACAAAATTGGGTTAACTTTTACGCTATCGAGAACGTTAAAAAACTCGCACTAAGCACACAAGTTACGGAAATTTGAATGGTTATAGAAAAAAAAACTTTTAGTTTCATCATTACTGAACACTAGAAAGAGGACATTTAGATAGTTTTTTGGGGAACGGGATTTTACATTAGATAAAACGGGATAAACTTATTTTAGCTACAAAAAGCTTTACATTAGAATTCATTGGGAGGTTCGCGTCATAACATCAGAATTGTAGTGGAGAATTCTAGAATATGATAGACGTTTTTTAATAATATTTATTTGATTGTTTTGGTCTATCGTGTATTCATATTTTCTAATACATTTAATTTTCTACGTCATAGCATCGAATGTGTAAAATAACAGATGATTTACATTGGCTCCGTTAATAACAAATAACGTATTGTTTACACGTGTGCAGTGACATATCGCAACTTACTAGCGTTTTTGGTTAGTCACTGGGTTAATGTAAATCTGCACTTATAATTCTATGCTTAGAATGAGATTGTTAATTTATTTATTTTTATTTTTTGTAATAATACGAAGTATTGTGTAACGGCCGTGTTCTATAAAAAATCTTATTTCGCTTCAATAAAATAAATACTTATTTTGTTGGGTAATTTATTTTGTATGTTCATTTCAAGATTATTTCAAACAATATTTTGTATTGATTGTATAACAATCTTTGATTGTTCTGTTGGCTAGCAATTGAGCTATGTCTCTCTGTATTTTGTCAACGAAAAGATGCCAAGAAAAAAAAACACGATTGTTTACATATTATTCGTATAGAAAAAGTCCTTTCAATAATGATGATAGGTGCAGTTGCTTGCTCTAGTAAGCGACTATTACAATGCTGCATTTCAAAGATTATATTTTAAAATAAAACTTTTCATAGCGGTACTTACACATAGACAGTGCTACTTAAAATTTCAACCTGCATTTACAGCACGTTCATTGTGATACGCTGCATTAATTAAAATAGAGGTTTGGAGGTTCACAATTCAAGAGTTTAATTAGAACAGTGAGAATGATCAAATATATTTTTTATGAGATATGTGATTTCAATGCATAATTTTAGGGGAACACCTGTGCATTCTACTAGTAAATGACGTTAAAATTTGTGAATTATTTTAGCAACAATTGATTTTGTTTTCTGGGCAAATAAAGCGTTAATGTGTCATTTTTTCTTGTTTTATTTATAAACTCTAACTATAACTTATACTATATAACTATTTCTTAATATTCTACTCACTATTATTTTAAGGTTGAATTTGAATGAAAGCTTTCGAGATGAAGAAATATGTACTAAATTTCATTCGATGAAATTCCATTACCTACCATGATTGATGATAGTCCATGTGGGACTATGGTTATTTAAATACCTACCACCATTTGTAACTGTGTTTGAGATAACATTTTATTTAATTTAACTACAAAATTCTTTGCTTTTTAATGATTGACTGACATTGAAAAAAAGGGAAGGATTTAAAAATACCTACGTCCATTTAGTAACATCTGCATTACGTATGTACCGGGAGTAAATAGCAAGTAAGATATACATTAATAATGTGCGATATAACGCACGAAGTGTAACGGAAAAAAAAGACTCTCCGGACTCAATTTAGGTTGAGAGCTTATTAAAAATAAATTACTGCTTTTCGCTTCGACCTTATGTACCAGAAAAAAAAAAAAATTATTGCCTTGATATGTGGATGAACTTACAGCCCACCTGGTGTTACGTGGTTGTCGGAGCACATAGACATCTACAACGTAAATGCCGCCGCCACCCACCTTGAGATATAAGTTCGAAGTATAGTTACAACGGCTGCTCCACCGTTCAAACTGAAACGCATTACTGCTTTACGGCTGAAATAGGCAATTCTGCCTGGCGGTACCTACTACTACGGTAAAACAGGTTCTATCACCAGTAATTATGCAAATTATAATTTTGCGAATTTGATTTTTATTAGACGATGTTGTTCCTTCACCGTGGAAGTGAATCGTGAACATATTTGTTAGGTACGTATTTCATTAGAAATAATTGGTACCTACCAGTGGGATTCGAACACGTGTTATCCTTTAAGCAACGACGACTTCATATTTATTACATAAAATTGCTATTACGGCCTAATCTTGTTTTTCTGTTTTTTTTTATCGTTTGACACTACAAAGAATGAGTAAAATGTGTTGGGTACAAACAATTCCTACTTTAACTATTCACCATTACTGCAAATACCCGTAACATATGCCACATTCAGTGTATATCTGTCTATACATCTATTATATTTGAATTTTATCTCTGTTAGGCTTAAAACGCAATGCCTTTGCTACTGTCGTACTGAGAGACACTTGACAGTATAGTAATTGACATTGACAGCTAGTCATACATTTCATTTTTATGATTTAGTCGTGGTTTAAATTAAAACAACAAATTGTTTTGGATTAAAATGGAAATAATCGATCAAGACATCAGGCAGTGGGACGCAGATGATGTTAAAGAACAGTTCGGGGACAGTCTGACTCTTTTGCCATCTAATGATAACATAAAAGAATTACAAACCATACTACGGGACAAGTGAGTGAGGTTAAGTTTCGTGTCATTCAACTGGCCATCATATGGTTTGATAATAAATTCGTAAATAAAAAAAATAAAAAAAAAATATATCAGAATTTAAATAAAGAAATGCCATCTGCTGTATTTTGAGGTTGCAGATTATTTTTGAGTAAACAGCAAAAATAAGAGCCCTTAAACACATAAGATACATGATATTCCGCACACAATGTATCAACCAACGTGAAAAATTTATAAATAGTCTTGCTATTTGCTTAAAAAAAATTATCCATTTTGTTGTAATTTCAGGAACACAAGTCGTAGTGATTTCAAGTTCTATGCGGATCGTCTCATTCGTCTGGTAATAGAAGAGAGTTTGAACAAATTGCCTTATACTGAGTGTGAGGTTGTTACTCCTACTGGAGCAATATATAAAGGACTTAAATATGGGGCCGGAAACTGTGGTGTGTCAATTGTGCGTTCAGGAGAAGCAATGGAACAGGTGAATTAATAATGCAGTTAATTTTTTCCATTATGATGGAATAACCTAAGTTTTGGAACCTAATAACTCCAAGCAAACTTCTGCAGTATTCAATTACTTAAGACATAATAACAGTAGGGTGAACAGCCACCCATCAAATATTTGGGACTGACGATAAACGATAATTTGTCAGTCCCAAATATTTGATGGGTGGCTGTTCACACTACTGTTATTACGTATTAAGTAATTGAATACTGCAATGGAACTTTAGCTGGAGGATTTGAGTAAAATTTTTCATAGTTCTGGAATATTACGAATTCTACCATTTTATGCTGTAATAATTTGCAACATCATTAATTATGTTTCAGGGCCTTAGAGACTGTTGTAGATCCATTCGGATTGGTAAAATCTTAGTAGAAAGTGATACTGACACACATGAAGCTCATGTTGTATATGCGAAGTTTCCAGAAGACATTGCAAGACGACAGGTGTTGCTCATGTACCCAATAATGTCTACAGGAAATACAGTTAAACAGGTTATTAAATTTATTTAGTGACTTTAGTATTGTAAGCTTTACTTAGCTTGAGCTTTTGGGTGTGAGAATACTCATGTCTCTCATACTCACGGACTAACCAGCAGAAGAGGCAAGCCACAGGGGCGTAAAACCTGGAACCTGGTGGAGGGCAGTGGTAGCCATCAGTACCAAAGCGAAACGAAAGAGCCATATGTTCTGAACCGATTCACTCTTGGATTACTATAGTCACTGAGGCCATAGTACCGCGATGTAGAAAGTAATGGGAACCTACTACATTATTAATCCCATGAGAGTTGCAATGATGAGTAAGACAGAGAATATCAGAAATGTATGTGATAGTCAGTTGTCAGCAAGAGTGTCTGACTGAGAAGAAGAAAGAAGTATGGTAAACCTGGAGTTTTTGCTGTGAAACAGTGATGCATATAAATTTTAACTGTGAGACAGCTGTACAATATAACTGAGGTTAACTGCTCATGTTTGAGGACGAGTGTGTGCGAGAGTGTGTGATGCAACATCTATGAGTTCCAATAACCACTTAACACCAAGCGGGCTGTGAGGTTGTTAACACATCAACTACGTAATTAGAAAGTTCTTGTTTTTGCATAATTTTCTAGTTTAAAGTGGCTTTTGAGTATAATAGTACTAAGTTTTGTTCTAGATAAGTAAATTATTTCAGCACAATTGTAAAAGAAAAAGGCATTTTGATTACTATACAAATTTACCCCAGAGGGGCATTTGAAGCACACTTATTGCTAAAGTATCAAATTTCTTTATAGGATTCCTTCTTTGTTTTCTCCTTTCAAATGTAGGAATAGGATGTAAAAAAATCCTGGTTTGGAAATCAAGAGGCACATCCAATTCAGTACAGTTGGAATCTTATTAATGGTTGAATTTACAGTATATTTATACATTACATAATATATGGGTGTGATTGTATTTTTTATAATAATGTAATAAAAGTTATTTTTCTGGTGGTAGTATTGTACACATGAACATACATGGTTGTTTTGCTTGTGTATGCTGCGGAGTGATTATACTTTATGGTCTGCAGCATCTAAGAGCTACTATACAAGATAACTGAAACTTCTTTAACTTCTTTCTTCTTTTTAATTAGTGTTAGGACGTCTTGTGAGTCCACGCCGGTAGGTACCACCACCCTGCCTATTTCTGCTGTGAAACAGTAATGCGTTTCGGTTTGAAGGGTGGGCCAGCCGCTGTAACTATACTTGAGACCTTAGAACTTATACCTCAAGGTGGGTGGCGCATTTACGTTGTAGATGTCTATGGGCTCCAGTAACCACTTAACTCCAGGTGGGCTGTGAGCTCGTCCACCATTCAAAGCAATAAAAAAAAGAAAGTTTTCTGGTAGTAGTATTGTGCACATGGACGTACATGGTTGTTTTGCTTGTGTCTGCTGTGGAGCGATTATACTTCATGCTCTGTGGCATCTAAGAGCCACTATACAAGATAACTGAAACTTTAATTTTATGTCTCATGGTTGTGATGTTTATGTGCTGTATTGACAGTGGTGTCAATTGGCTAAGTGGCAACAGGCCAGTTTCCACATGCAAGGCCTATGACTTGTATCAAATTTATATAATATAATCCTCAAATTTCAACAAATTTTAAATTACAGGCTGTAAATGTATTAAAGCAACACGGAGTCAAAGAAGAAAGAATCATTTTATCGAATTTATTCTGCACACCGGCAGCGGTACAAGCTGTAGTCGATCACGTACCCAAAATGAAAATATTAACTTCGGAGCTGCATCCTGTGGCCCCAAATCATTTCGGACAGAAGTACTTCGGAACTGATTGATACGAAGACGAATTCGAGGTCTAGACAGACCAAAAATAATACTAATGCCGAGAAGCACCTGAACTTGTTCTAAAATGTGTTTTTAATGAGAAATGTATGCTTGCGATTAAATTTCGAAATTATCGTCTTATTCGTCGTATTCTTAGTAAGATGTATCCTTGAAAATTCAATGTTAAATGATACCAATGAATATTATAGTTTTAACCTATTAAAGATAATAAAAAAAACATATTCCTATTGTAGAGTAAGTGACTATTTATTAATGTATTAAAAAATGTTTTATGCAACTTTGAAAATAATACAATACGCACATAATTGTATGTTTCTCTCTATGGTCAAGTAAGAGTCTGGTCTTAGCCAGACCTGTGCTATTTCCTAACTATCTTCTAGATACTAAGTTCAATGCAAAAGCACAAAATGCCTGTTTTGTATTTATGAAGGATACAATGAAATAGTTACTGTATTCTTTTTGGTTAAGAATAGCTTTTTAAATATTAATTTATATTGCAATGTAAATTGGAGGTTGCTGTAAATGAAGGTGATAAATAAAAAACAATGTTTTATTTTTGATAATTTATTTCAGTTTCACAGTTTACAATCTATGGGTAGATACAAGTATTTAATTAGATCAGATCACACATGTAAGCAGTTATCATTATAAATTAATAGTTCAACATTTCGAATAATTTAAAACCTTACTATGTAACCTTTATAAAGTGTTCCCCAAACATTTTAGTTGTTGACTCAATCCAGCTAGTGATATTCTTTAACACAGATGTTACTCACTTATTGTAAGATTCTACACCCTAATAATATTATTTAACATTGTAAAAATATTGATAACATTCAATTATATCGTAACAAGTTTATTACTTATTCGAGAACAAAAATATTATATTTTTTAATTTTATTAGTAAAACTAGATGTCACTTACAATTACTGTGTTAGATGGCGACCTTCCGATGGCGTATATGGCAACATTACATCTAAAATCTCATTTTTTAAATAACATGTGACACAGCAACGCCATCGGCGTCTCTTCGAATAAAAAGTGCGTACTCCCGTATATAAATAAATACTTAAAATATAACAAGTATATTAATACTTTGTCAATATATTCCTTACACACTATGTTACAATATGACAAGCACTTACTAAGTTCGATTATAAATGATGAACAATAAAATTTAGATCTGGCAACACCAGCCAAGATGCCTTCTTACATTATAATGTTGTTAAAATCGAATGTCCTTTTCTGTCACTTCGTTTTTCGAATTGATAGAAAGGAAGGCAAGATTTAGAGGCACAACATTCACATTTATTAAGGTGGTACGAATTATATTAAAACATAATAATTTCGAAATTGACTTAGATATGTTATTAAGGCATCGTGTGAATCCAGCGCCGCAATATAGATCTAGGACTAAATACAACAGCCAAAGCGAAATAACGTGGCGGTTAGCACATCGATACATACATAAAATAAATACAGATTATACGTATTAAATTCGACTATTAGTGTCAATATCTGAGTGATAACAGTCTATATAAATATATTATATAGATAATAAATTCAATAGAAAAGCAAATTAAATCAATTTTGTGCATTCACTTTAATTAATTATTTTTTTGTGATTTTTCGTGTATTTTTTATTTTTATTAAATAAAAAAAATATCGTTATTTGGGCACCGTACTAACGTTGGCCCTGCCCTTGCGAAAGTTAAATTTGTCAGTGATGTCGTAAATCTTTTCGCTCGAGGTGTCCTGCTTTCTGAACGCGCACCAGTCTCGGGCGTTAGCGACTACCGGTAGTATGGTATGTTCGCTGCACATCACAAAAACATTTGTCATATATAAATTGTATTGCGTGTGAGGGATGGAGCGATGCGAGAGCGGAAGCGTTGAAGCGAGACAGGTGTATTTACATGAGCTTCTGCTTGGCGCACTCGGGACAGATGATGTCCTGTCCGTCGGTGATGAAGCCCTTGCCGACGAGCGAGGTCTTGCACTGCGCGCAGATGAAGCAGTCGTTGTGCCAGTGTCTGTCTTCGAACGAGATGAAGCGGGTGCCGCCGATACCTGGAAACGTCACATTTCATTTGTACCGTTCTAATTTAGTTGTTTTTGGAACGAAGTTATGGGACGATGCGGAGGGGTACTGTTACACACTACTCTACAAAGCAGCTTTGCCCTAATCAGCTCGTTTACGAGCTCACTGTTTTTCCATTAGAGTCATCATTTTTAGCTTTCATGTAAAATCAAATCGTATTGAAAACCAGTTAGAATCTGGAAGCCGTCGCGAGCATACATAAGTTAGAATCTGGAAGCCGTCGCGAGCATACATAAGTTAGAATCTGGAAGCCGTCGCGAGCATACATAAGTTTGAGAAGTCAACAATAGTGTTGAAAAATTGTGAAGTCTAATAAAAGACAGTTTAGTTGTGAACAGTTTTTGTGTTTTTTTAAAAAGAAGTTTGAGAAAGGCCGTGTAACAGTACCCTAACCGGGAAAAAACGCTTGTAACGTAAGATTTTTATTAGTAATGCACACAGTGTACGACTTAAGTATCTAATAACGTACAAAAAATAACATATTTTTTTATCATTCATTGACCACGATCTCAGAGCGTTCGTTTGCGCAACTCATGCAAACAACCGTGAATGAAGTGTACCACAATAAGTTCGCACGTTTTATTTTCTTTATACCTCGAATAGAACTTAAAATTAATATTTTTATAATAAGGAACTTCGCTACTACCTGTTTTTTTTTTTTTTTGGAGTGCCAGTTCGTCATACCTGTGATGGGCTTGGTGCAAGAAGTGCAGCGCTTGGCGAACAGTTCCCCGAAGCACTCGGCGCAGTAGGGCTTCTCGTCGCGCGAAGTGAACCGCTGGCCGGCGAGCGACGTGTTGCAGTTCGTGCACGTGAAGCACTCGCGGTGCCACGGCTCGTTCTTGTACGTCACGCCGCCTTGTGTGATTATCTGGAAATTAAAATCAGTTACACTCTCTAGGTATTCTAAACGCATAAATAAAGTTATGGTGCCCCTATGATGTCTCGTCATGGGCGGTAGGTTTTTTTTCCTGCCTAGCTGAGAGCCTTGAGAGGTTATATCAGCGTAACCTTAACTAGTAACCCTGACGACGTTGCTAACACGAACCCTAGGAAGAGCCGTGCTTCGTAGAATCTACCACCGGATCGGAAACGCGACCCACTGAGAAGATCCGGCGAGAAACTCAGTGGGCTGTCTCTGGGGGTTAATTTATGACCGGATGTACCGATGACCGGAGTAAGAATTCGCATATTAAGAAACCGCTTTACTAAAATCCTCCCGATCCTGCGAACCGAATGGTAAAGAGTCGACAACGCTCTACACACGTCATTTTAGATCCTTCCGATCGACTAACGGTGCTTTTAGGTACCACAAGCACCGGTCACCGTCCTCGCCGAACCCGTCGCTTGCGACGAAGAGTTCGACGAGCAAAGTAACCCACAGACAAGCCCACCGAGTTTCACGCTGGATCTTCTCAGTGGGTCGCGTTTCTGATCCGGTGGTAGATTTTGCGAAGCACTGCTCTTGCTAGGGCTAGTTTTAGCAACGTCGTGAGGTTTCAGCCCCGTGAGCTCACCCACTACTTCTATGAATCTAGTATAACCCCTCAAGACTACTAGAATAGGTAGGAAAAAAACTAAAATTCGTAGGCGTTCTCTTGTCCGTCTCTTGTCAGTAGTAAAACAAACAATATTTGTGTGTTCCATATATTTTAAACTTCAATTTTGTATAGGAGGGTTGGCGCTTCTAGATACCTACATAATGACTGTTTTTTAATAAAATCGAATAGATAAAAGAAGTTAGAATCAAATAGATAAAAGAAGTTAGTTAGTTAGTTAAAGCGGCCAATGATCGGAGGCGCTGGCGGGACATTACAAGGAGTAAAATCATGTCGAAGTACAATAGTTACGACCCTCAGCAGTGCCGAAACGACGCAAGGAGGAGAAAAGAAGTTAATGTACTGTGTAGGTACCTTGTTACACTTGACGCAGCGGGTGGCGAACTTGTCCTCGTAGCAGCCGGCGCAGTAGATCTCCTGCTCGCGCGGGATGAAGCTCTTCGTGCCGATCGGGTTCTTGCAGACAACGCAGCAGAAGCACTTCTCGTGCCACTGCCTGGTCTTGTACTCCATCTTCTTGGTTCCTAAAACGAAGCATAAATACCTTTTCAATATCATCTATAATTACTTCTGCAAATATAGATTAAGGAGTAACATTTTGTTTTGTTTATGCGCCTAACATACAATCACTTCGTTAACGATAACGACTTATTTTTTACGATATTGTCTAAAAGAAAATACGCAAAAATCAGATTGGGGAATTTACGTGAGGTAAGTAATGTTTTTATGCACCTTGATTACCTGATTGATACCTAGAAATTTGCTGAGCGAGCTATCAGATCGGCATGCGATCCTAGTACATACTAACAATATTCAATTGGTCACATTTCGTTAGTCAGAAAATACGTGACGTCCTGTGATCCTGGTATCTCGAGCTAAATCATATTAGTTTGACAGAATACGTGTGCTTACCTATTAGGTACTTTAGCGAAATTATAGGGATATAACAAAAAATTTAAGTTGAGGTTTGTTTTTTTTTTAAATTGCTTTCGCGTGGGGCAAGTTCATTTGTATAATGTTCAATTTGTAGTTTATCGTTTCCAGTCGACCTCGCGATTTCAAGTTCAGCGATCTTCCGGCAAGGTCTCGCAATAAAACTACATGAAAACATTGTGAAAGCGACGGTTTTACGACCGGAAACGGATGCGGAACGGTACAAACCTTACCATTTATGAATCGAGTTTTTGAAAAGCAATTTGTGGTGCCTCTTGTAGTTGAGGGCAATCGAGTTTCGCAAAAGAAATATTCAAGAGTAAAAAATCACAGTCTATCTGTTGCTTGTTGGTTTTAATTCATTTTTTTCCGAACGAAGTGTATTTAGCTTTAAAATTAACAATTCTCGTAAACACACCGTTACTCATACGGTGGATGTAAATCTTAATAAAATATGTCTATTTTGTAACAACCTGTCATTATGCTCAATATATAAATCGAACTCAATAATTAATAGTCATAAATTACAATTTGGAAACAAATTAAATTCAAGATTGTCTATTTTTGGTTCAATCAATATTTTTATATGTTGTGTTGTTAATTAATTACTATACAAACTAGCAACTACTATATTCTTAAATGCTTATTTATGTATCATCATTCGTATTGGCCGAGTTTTTTATTCATTTATTTCAATTATCAAAATTATTTTAATTTACTACTTCGCTTCGAAGCGGTTTCGTATTTTAGTTTTAGGCAGAATCAGAAACAGTAAGGATTTTGTCACTTTTTTATTCAGTCCACAAAATATATTTTACACATCCTTTTTTTTCTTATCATTTTCGTTAATAGAATCGGAGAGCTAACTGGTTTTAGATCTCAACAATGTCTGTAGTGTGTAAATCTATATCATTCGTAGCAGTTTGTACCGTCTTGATAATCGCCTTATCGTTGCCGCCGCTGACTACTCCCCTAATCCTGATCACGCAGGAGCCAGTCACCGTCGACGCCCTAGACACGTCCTTACGGATCCATCAGATCCAGACCTTTGCATTAGACGCCTTCAGCTCTAACACTAGGAGCAGGCTTAGGGACCCCGGTAACCGTATTCGTCGAACTCGACAAAGAGTTCGCCGTGCAACCTAACCCATGAATCAGCTCGCTGAGTTTCTCGCCGGATCTTCTCAGCGGGTCGCGATTCCGATCCGGTAGTAGATTCATTCACAATGCAGCTGCTCTTGAGTTGTTAGGTCTCCTTCGGAGGCGCTCGGGCAGCTGTTAGCAAATCCCACCCCTCCTAGCTGAGCCTTTGCTCGCCCACCTGTCCTGGTGAAACTGGAAAGGCCTCCGGGCCACCAGTAATACTTCAATCATAAAAAAGGAGTTTGCACGTATCGATGTAGGTACGTAGGTATTCGATAGAATTCATGTCAGAGGTTGCATGCTTGATTATTCCGTCCTTGACAACTTACATGGGTTACAGGGGATATTTGAGCGATGCACGCAACGTGGCTGATACGGACTGCATTTTACAACGTTTTTTTTATTTCGTTTTGTTCAACGTTCTTTTCAACGACGCGGTTTTCAATTTTATTGATGCACTCCTAGTTTTATCGCGAAATGTTTTAGGTACAAAATGTTCAATAAACCTATAAAATGTTTCTCGAATTTCGTTGTATGAATATTGTGAATCGAATCCAAATTCGATGGTGTGTTTTGTACCTTATGCCTCAAGGTAAGCCAGTAGCTTCCAAGTTGTAATGTGCATTTATTTATTTAATTACTTACATGTTCGCATACTTATATTTCATCGTATTTGTTTTGTTTAGTGACTGTTTCGAAGCCTTTTCTCCAGTCATTGTTGTCGTCGAACACGTCGCTTGCTCGACGAGTGACCCATAGACACAGCCCACTGAGTGGGTTTATTGTAATAAAGTCAATAATGTCTTTTAAAATACAATTACTTCACAATAATTTACATTTGTAAAAGCAACCCTCAGAACAACAAAACAAGCCGATAGTTTCGTTCTGAATTTCTGTCCACTTTACCAACTGAGTTTCGCGTCGGAACTTCTCAGTGGGTTGGGATTCCGATCCAGCGGTAAATTCTGCGAAGCAGTGCTCTTGCTAGGACCAGCGTTATCTCAGGTTGAGCCCCGTGAGCTCACCTACCAGTCACAGTCTAACTAGAATAGCTTTTTAGGTTACCAGCGAATAGGTAGGAGCAAAAAGAATTCTCCACTTGCCGCCTCTTTATATTGGAGACTCAGCGCTTACTCTGGAAATTTTATGATTCTAGTCAAAACAATATCTTATCGTTGAAAAACAATCGAAACAATATATAAGAAACTTGTTTTTAGCCGGACAAATGTGATTACTTCTTTGAATGAAATCCAATGTCCGTAAATTTGTAAATCTTAGTCATATATCATTTTACTTTTGCTTCCGTATCTCAAATATAAAGCAAATTGTAAAAGTTATGTCGCTTGCTTCGGAGCTTTTAGCAAAAGTTGCGAATCGCGATCGCAATCAACTGTCGTGTTCTTATTGAAACGAAACTTTAAATGGAAAAAGTTTATCATCCGAATTAAGCTTTAGTTTTGATAGTTTCGTATACACGCCTCTTTATGCGTGTATTTACATAACGTTTACAATAACAATTGGGCTGTACTTAAAGTGAAGACAAAGGATATTTATTAGAATTGAATCTTTACTGGTGGTAGGACCTCTTGTGAGTCCGCGCGGGTAGGTACCACCGCCCTGTCTATTTCTGCCGTGAAGCAGTAATGCGTTTCGGTTTGAAGGGTGGGGCAGCCGCTGTAACTATACTAAGATCTTAGAACTTTTGTCTCAAGATGGGTGGCGCATTTACGTTGTAGATGTCTATGGGCTCCAGTAACCACTTAGCACCAGGTGAGCTGTGAGCTCGTCCACCAATATAAGCAAAAAAAATAAATTTGGAATTAATTATCGTTAATTGAAATGACTTTCATTTCTAAACGTGTTTTCTTTTAACATTTTTCTAATTTGAGCGCTTTAATATCACCTCACGCACTACATTTGATTTCAGGAAAAAAACATGTCTATTTCTTTTTCACTCTACATTCGTCGAATCCCTCATGAGAAAACTGAGCAAAATCCATCACACACTAGTTTACCGTTCGCGTGTTTCCGACATCTGAACTATACATAATAACAGAATGTCGTGACTGGAGTTTAATATCTATGTTGAACTACACTACTATGCACGGATCGCTCTGAACGTACGAATGTATCTTATTCTGAAAGGTCTACGAACTTTAACGTTTCGATCTAGGCGTGTTTTGTTTTAAGACGGTTATGTCGAATTGAGTGTTGAGAATAGAAATTATTCTTTTAATTTTACACTACATAAATTTAGTAAAAAAAAAACACAAAGAAGTATTGCTTCCGATTGTGACAGATAGATTGTATAATTATGGATTCCTGACACCTTAAAGTTATATGATAAGAAAAAAATCATTATATGGTTCGTTATTTGAAAATCAGTGAGTAATAGAAAGGTAAATTTCCATTTGCCGTTTGTTCGACATACGGACCTTTTGCCTGCAAAGCTCCTTGTGTGGCAACACCGACATTGCAAATGAAGCAGTTCACCTACACGCGAGGCTTACTTAAAACTGTACCGCCTATAAATACGGGTAATTAATATTTATAGATAGAAACTAAGAGGTACTCAGACTCAGAAGCAATCAATGTTTTATTTAAGGACTAGTTTCAACAAATACATGTATGCTCCAAACAGCAACAGCTACCGACGGTCTGTTATTTGTTAGACCAGATGTTCATTGATATATAGGAAAGTCAGTTAAGGCCCCAGATTTTTCAGAAGAATATTGGAACGTCACCGAAACCTTTAGACAATCATGAAATGCCTTGCAAAAGTAGTTCAATAAAAATCCATTAACAAGCTTATCCTGACAGCCTAAAATATATAGTGCATTCTATATGTTTGACAGCTGACGTTACTTGTTTAAAAAAAAATGCTTAAAATAGTGTTTTGTGGCTTAAATTACTTAAAGTGTTAATTAATCTTCGATAACCCTTGATATTCAGCGGCGCTGTAGGTTAAGGTTTAATAAGCATATCTCAAGGGGAAATTGCGCTTTCCGTGGGCTATAAACGTAAATGGAGATCCAACATGCCCGGTCTTGTGAAAGCTGTAGCTTGCGATAGCATTGAAAAGGTGATCGTAAATTGTCATGAATTGATATTTTCCAATGTACATATCTATTGGCAATTCCATTTGTTTATAGTAGGTTAGTTAGTATAGTATAGTATAGTTGTTTATAGGTAGTAGTATATTTTCGAGGAAGTATTCTTAATGTTTTGGTAATATTGCGTTTGTATTTTCAACCCGACATTCATGAAAAGAATGTCTTGGGTATTACCTACCCATGTGTGCCTTTCTTTCTAGCCCGAGAGCCCGTGGGATCTACCTGTATGTATTTGACCAGACCTGAATTTTCGTACATTGAGACCCCTATACCTACCATGCATGAGGTGGGGACTCACTAAGCTCAAAGTGGTCGACGCGCCGAGCGCTCAGGTA